AGATTAAAATGGCTCCGTAGGATTTCGGAGATGGCAAATCTCTACAGAAAGATTCAGCCTCATCTTTCTCCCACAGAACAACTGAAGGGTTGGAACCCATGACCTGGAAGTTACCAGCCTGGTGCTTAACCCACAGCACCACCAGGGCCCCTTATCAACGCACAGAAGATGTTAAGGGGGTGAAACCAAGGGTCTTCACATGAGCCCTGGGGCGCTAGCTGGATATGGTGATGTAATAAAATTCAATTATTAAAGATCAGGATTTGAGACAAAGCTCAGGAGATGGAGATACCAGTGACAAAGAATTTGGTCTCAAGGTTCTACATCAAAGTGAGAAAATGAAGTGTGAAATTGAGTTTCTGTTTACTTTTATATTGCTCCACTATAACTGAACTCCCTTGAAGAGGCAATGCTATTGCATATACATAATCTGTCATGGTGATTGGTTAATAAACCGATACATGTCTAGAACACTGACAAAGTCAGAAAGGGTAAGGAAAGTACCACCATCTAGGTCCAAAAATATTTTCATGAACAATCCAAGAAAACTTAAAAGTTTTCTAAGAATCATAATTTTTGGTAATCTTTTCTGTATTCTTGGTTCAGAGATTAGATTTTCTTAGAATATAACATTTATGTGCAGGAATTATGTTGTTTAGAGAGAGCTTACTCCACAATGGCTATGTTAAAATGTTATTTTTTATATGAGAAATAAAAGAGAGAATAAATAAAATACATTACAGTATTTTATTAAATACTGTAAATAAATAAATACTGAAAATAAATAAAATTACAGTGTTTACCAGTTCATTTTCATTTATTGAACCAGATAGCTAAATACTTAATACCTCCTCTCAAAAATAAGTAAAAATTCACACCCATCGAGTCGATTCTGACTCATAGAACCCTATGGGACAAAGTACAACTGCTTCCAAGTCTGTAAATCAGTACAGGTACAGAAAGCCTCGTCTTTCTTTCTGCAAGTGGTTGGTGGTTTCAAACCGCTGACCTTGCAGATTGCAGCCAACACATAACAACTACACCACCAGGGCTCTTCAGCCCTGGTTGCAGTTAGCAGCCTATAATGTAACCCACTAGGACATCAAGACTCCATATGACCCTTAGAGAATATTAAGCATTTTTGGTATCTGGGTTATTTTCCACGCTTACCAGAACCACTACGAGTATGTGTCATTCAGGTGGTCTGGATCGAATATGAAGAAATGAAAGTCTTTTTCCATCACTTTTTGGTGCTCAGAGGTGAGGGAGCAACAATATATGGCAACAAACATTCCTGGCTTATCGGATTGCCACACTGGAAACAAAAAACCTAGGGCATAATTACTCCAGATTCTGCAGACCGCAAACCCAACACCCCAAAGAGAAGAACAGCAACCCCAATCACTGCCATTAAGTGGATCCCAACTCATCGTGACCCTACGGGACAGAGTAGAACTGCTTCCGTGGGTTTCCGCGACGGTAAATCTTTATGGGAGTGGAAAGCTTCACAGATATTAAGCAAAGGTAGCCCTCAGCATGACAGCATCATATTTTAGAGTGGCGGGTGCCTGCTGGACTCTGGGGCCAGGACGTGGCACCCCATTAGACTCATCCGGAAAACGCTCCTAAAGGTCAACAAACAGACCTTGAACTACTAACAGGCTTTTTTCTTTTCTTTTCTTTTTCTTTTTTTTTTTCCAGCCTATTTGTTTTTTTCCTTTTTTCTCTTCTTTAAAATTTTGTATGTCAGTGACTTTTTTGTTTGTTAGTTTGTGGTGCTGCTGCCGTCATCGCCATGTTCTTATGTGCCACTTTGGTACTGCACTGTCAAAGCCATCCCAATTTTATTCACATATTAATATATCTGCA